GGGGGGGGGGGGGTTACCTAATGTGCTAGTTAAAAGTTACTAGGATCAAGCATCCATTAGAGTTGTTAGCTGAGAGCAAGACTACAAATATATGAAAGTGAGATCATCAATCAGATGCAACTGTAGTGAAAACAGAGTCATCATATGTTACCTATGCTCAGTAAAAGATGCAAAATAGTTCTCATTACATTTTAAGACATCCTAGATCATAAATTTCTTTTTCCTTAAGATGATCAGCAAATGGTGTTATTGTCGAAATAGTTATACCATACAAGTCAGTTTTGAATTACTTGAAAAGTTCAAAACACTATGACACCAACTAATGATACACCACGCCCAGGTGCTACAAAGCCAAATAGAAGTTGGCAAACTGAACAATGCACAGCGACAAGCATCAACCAAGTATAGCAAGAGAAATCTACGCACACAGAATAATGATCAACTAATTTACACTCTATAAACTCCAAGCACGTACCTGTCCACCGTGTGCTAAATTATTCACAATGGATTCAACCAAAGGCTTCTGCACCACTCTTCTTTTATGATGTTTTTTCTTGAAGTGAGGGTCTGGACACTGCAGAAATGAGCAACTAACCATTCAGCTTTAAGTGAACAAGAAGGTCATTGGCCCATCAAAAACATTTCTGCATACTTCCAGCATAAAAAGGGAACTCACCAAGATTGAAACTAGCATCAGTGGTCCAGGATATGTAGATACAAGTCGTTGGAAGGAAACCATGGCGTTGGTAGATATGAAATGTCTGCATTTGGATATCCATTAACAGGTTTTCAATAAACAGTTCTTAAGTGGTGTATCAGGATTTTTTCAAGCCTTACACATTTTTCAGACCCAGCTCATTTACCCAGTACTCAGCCCGTGTGACCAACTGCACAAGGAAAAGATAGTCTCAACCATGAGTACCACAGTATCACATTTTCAGAAGCCAAGAGAGAACAATTACCACTATATAAACTGAATGAAAGCATTTTGAACAGGGCAAGCTTATTGTCGACATACCTTAGGCCGAATTTCCAATCCCAGAAAATTCTTGGATGAAGAATTTCTTTTAGCTAGCCACATAAGAAATCTCCCACTACCTGGAATATGTTTTTCTTAGATCTATGAAATTACAAGATCATAGGACAATGGAATCTAAAGGATGAAGGGAAGAGAAAAAATTGGAAACATGCGAGATATATTTTGAGACACACACAATATTATATGGGAGTGAATGTTCAGTAATGGATATCCACAAGATGAGTGTAACAGAGATGTGGGTGATAGAAAAACGTGCAGTCATATGAGATTGGACAAATTATGAATACATCTGACAGAGGGCTGCAAACAGAACACATAGAGGATTTCATGAAGGTCGCTTCAAATGGTACACAGACCACGAAATAAACCAGTATGTAGGTGCGACATGTATTGAAGGTAGTAGAAGATTGGAGTCTGTCTCAATAAGCATAAAATTTTTGAGTCATTGCACATTTAGCTAGGAACATAATAAAGTGCAAGAAAAGGATCCAGATAATCGATATCAGCCAGTTGGGATTAATGCTTCATTGTTGTGCTTACACTCACATTAGCTAAGAACATAACAAAATGCATAATAAATAATGCAAAGTTTTATACCGTTGTTATACTATTTGATAATACCTCAGACCTGATAGTGGCAAAATGGTTAAAAGAAAACAGTTAACCACCCATATTATCCACTAAAAATGGGTTGGATAATGAACTTTTTAAAAATAGGTCAAATATGGATAAGAACCATATTATCCATTTAGAAAATGGATAACCAATGGGTAACTAATGAATAATCAATGGGTCTAACTTTTACATTTGTAAAGCCACAAATTGGGGGTTCTTCAAGTTAGGGAGAGTAGGAATTCTCCCAAAAGTGATCATATGCAAGAAGTTATGGATAATATGGTTACCCATATTATCCGCTGGTCAACTCGTTTTTTATCCGTATTAAATATGGGTCGGGTCGGATGATTTATCCGTTTTTGACCCGAATCATATCCGACCCGCCCGTTTGCCACTCCTACTCAGACCTAACGACACAATATGGCATAGGCATAAATTGCTATTCTATTTGTATAACCAACCATCTTCATGCAATTGGAAGCAAGTTTGTTACAGATAGCTATTGGACAATAATAAACTACTAGATCTTATATGGAAAACACGAAATTTATAATGAATAAACCATAAGTAACAATAGAATGGTGAAGAAATCAAAGAGCAAGCAGGTTCCTACCACTCCCAATATCCACCATCAGAGGCAATGTTGCATCCCTGAACACCTCCTTCCAGTTCGGTACTTCTGCAGGAATCTTCTCATGATAAATTAATACAACAAAACAAAAAAGAACCATTTAAGTAGAAAATTTATGTTCTATTCCATCCTGATTTCTTGTAGTCTAAAGTAAGTTTCACAAATTATAGCTGGGGTCCACGGGACTCAATAGGAAGAGAGAAGCTTCACATATACAAAGAGCCATAATGCGTACCATGAGAGCACGTCGCAGAGGGTTGACATGCGGCCTTATTCGAAGATTGCCAATATCCTATTACATCATATGATGAATGTGAGTATAAAAATGCACACATATATTGCAAGAAAATCTCATAATAGACACAATTTTATCAATCCATCAATTTTGCCTTCATCGTCATTAAAGTTATAAGATTTAATCCAAATAAATGACTTCGTCAATAGCTCAACTTGACCAACTTCTGGCAATACTTAAGTCACAGGAATATTAGAAAAATAAGGACAACAGCTCAGTTTGACCTAACTTTAGGCAAAAAAAGGTTTTTAAGTTTTATGCACCTGGGTGGAATAAAACATATATACACAATCAGGGGTGAGTCATAATGAAATTACCATTTACAAGTAAATTTCGATTAAGGATCAACTGGTAACATGGTAATAATGGTACTAACTAAACTGGTATCCCAAAGAATATTTACATTGCCAGTGTGTATAACTTAAATCTGAAAATAAATAAGATAACAGCTAAGTTTAGGCAAAAAAAAAGGTTGAAGTCTTTAAATTTGTCAAACCTCACAAAATAAGTCAGAGAGATTAAGGTCAGCATATTCTTTGTGTACAAGTCCATTACTTGCGATATGGTGTTGTTCATCTGTCTCAGCTACAGAACATGAAACAGCTGACACCCATGTGCAATACTTGGAACGGTGGCGAGAGGGAAAAAGTGATGGAGTTGTAGAAGGAACGAATTTGTGAAGAGAGTATTTGAAGATGATATGGGGAGAGGAAATGAAGAATGAGGTTAGAGGTTTCTTGGGTATGGTGGAGTATAAGTAGTAGTAAGCCATGGCCACGAAATGCTCAAATGTAAGGAGGGATAATAAGGGAGAAAAATGTAGATAACGGAACATCCGGTGTGAATTAAAAGATTGAGAGAGAGAGAGAGAGAGAAATAGATTTTGTGCACAAAGCAACTCAATCGATCACAATTGACTATTTGAATTGGCATTACATCAAATTTGCTATGTGTAGCCATGAACTGTTGTCAAATTAAGATCGACGGTTTGCCTACCTTGTAGCGATGAACGCGCCTCACACTATTATACCACATTGTTTGGATAGTTGTTATATGTACTAGAATCACAAGGGTTTATTATATGAAGCCTTACCCTTCATTTTTACAAGAGTCTGTTTCCACAGTTCAAACCCGTCATCTCCTGGTTACATAACAACTTTACCAATTACACCAAGACTCCCCTTTAATGTATACAATATTTGAATAAATTATATTGTTTGTCATCGTTTCATGATTTCATGCACCAAGCCACCAACAATATAAAAAAGAAACTTGCAAAATTACAAAAAAAAAAAAAAAAAAAAAAAAGATACGAGGTAGAATTATTATATAAAAAAATATATGGTAAATAATAAAATAGAACTATTTAATAATAAGGAAGGGGAGGGAAGATAGAAACAAAAATAAGGTAACAATGCAACCACACCAAATGAGTCCTTACATAAAGTGGCATTTTTCGTCGTTACGTGACGACAAATTTAACGAGACAATACAATAAAATTTAAATAATAATCAAAACAAATATTGTATCTAAAGTAACAATACTTACTATACAATACAAAAGCTGCCAGTATATAGTTTACGAGGAAGCAACTCCATAGCATATTCTTCAATCTTCATTGTAAATTAAACTACAAATTGTGTTGATGTTTAAGTAATCAAGCTACAACACCATGCATTGTTGACTTTAATAGCCAACTTATTCAAACTGAGCTTCAGATCTACTTGATGAAGCTAGTTTCAAGCAGAAGAAAATTACTCCTATGAAGTCACAAACTTCTAAATTACGTAATATTGTTGTAAGCTATACTATATTCTTTGAAACAGTTCACCAGAAAGGCCATGCTGCTCCCAAAAGCATATCCATCCCAGAAACATATTAGAACACACTGAATTCCATCTTCGTCCATTTGCATCTATTTGGCTAAGGACCTATCAAATCGCGAATCTTAAACTATTTTTTCGTGATATCTTCCAGGTACCATGAAGGCCAAAACCAGTCCCACGTTAAATTTGAGAACGACTCTCAAACTTGAACCCCGAATGAATTGCCACAACTCCACCAACAAGGTTCTCGTATTCTACCTTTTGAAATCCAGCTTCCGCAATCATTTTGGCAAACACCTCCTGCATACAATTAAAAGCAAAAGGTAGTGAAAACGCTGAAGCACTTGCACAGATTGTAGGTGAATCTCTGGTAATGTTCCTAACATTGCTCTCACAGGAGTGGATGAATTCGGTTACAATATGTAAATGTAGTTAGAGTTTTGCATTGGTTTTTAGCTGTTGGATTGGGTTTGAGGAAGGACAAGGAAAGGAGAAAAGGGAGGGGTAAGGTTATGAGCAAAACGTTTCATTTACTTTCTGTGTCCAAAAGAGGACAGAATTTAAGGAAAAATAAACCATCTTTAATAAAATTTTGGTAATGCCCAAGGAGGCCTCAAACTTGTGTTCTGATTCAAATTTTTGGAGTTCACTTCATTTTTGTCTGAGACCTTCTTAGGCATTACCAAAATTAAAGACGGTCTATTTTCCTTTCTTTCTGTCCACTTTATTTTTCCACCTGCAATTTGATAGGTGGAAGTGCTGAACACGTCTTTTCAATTCATAGCCGAGCATCTTTTAAGAAAAATAACTTTTTAAGGAAAGACATCCGTCAATGATCACAAGAATTACAGTTTCACTGTACTGGGAAGATAAAGTACACTAACAAGCACAAGATAGGCATCTCAAACCGGCGAGAGATATGGCAATTCCCAGGTAGTGGCCAGACATAGCCGGGATTCACCAGGGTGCAATTACTGTCAACAAATTATCTGATGTTGCAACAAATGAAAGAAATTTCCACACGTAATACCTGTCGAGGGAATCGGCGGATGCTCTCAACCAAGTACTGGTAAGACTCTCGGTCACCTGTCACTAGCTCACCAACTGCTGGGATGACTGAGAATGAGTAGGCATCATACCTGAAGAAAATAAAGGGCATGCAAATTTGAAACCTGCAGAAAAAACTCGTACAAATGCTATCATACATAACGAACTCACAATCTCAAATTTCAATGCACCAAGCCCAAGGAATGTAGGAAAACCAGCATACTACGGAAGTAAGCTTGCATGGTACAAACAATGTTCTTTGCCAATGCACAACTTGATTTTTCATCAAATGACAGAGATAAGAACTGTTGCTAATATTGTCTAAATATTGATCTAATGAGCAAGGAATAGATATTTCGACTTCAAAATGAAATATCACAAGCAGCGAATATGAAGGCTTCAGTTTCAGTTGAGCAAGAGAATATATTGATTGTCCAAGTTCCAACAGGAGGTTCCACGCTGCTGAGGTTCTTGTACATGAAGCAGCCATTAAAAAGCAATTCAGAGTATATATCTATATAAACTTCAAAATAGGCCTGAGGGAAACATTTTATTTTATTTTCCCTAATTCCCCCGTACTTTGTTTATATTTGGCGAACAATTTCGCAAACAAAAAATCCCACTAAGTTGTCTTGGACGACACCATTAAAAGTGATAATCTTTGGAGCACAGCCACTACTTATCCAAACAAAGAAGGCGAAAAGGGGATAAAAGTTGAGATTTAATTGAGTAGGTTAAAAATACTCATGGACCTCTTATTGATGTGCTGTACAATTGCATGGTCATAATAAATAACTGAAGAAATATATGCCATCCAAGCTATGACAAGAAAAAACTTACAAGTCCTTATAAACTGGGATTTCGACGTGGCTTAGTTCAAGGCAAAGAAACCTTCCTCCCCTTTTAAGCACCCTGCAAATAATCAAAACCATCAAGTTTAGCATATTAGCCACCTGATGGGTTCTTGAGACAAGGAAAAAGGTATTTTGATCGCAACCAACCATATAAACCAAGCACTCACATGGGTTAACATTTCAAATCCTATGCATCCGTACTCTAAGAGATGGTAAAAAGGAAAAATTTAGCTCCTTGAGACTTGCTCTAACACTAGATGGTATCTCAAATTATCAAAGAGCATATCAACAACAACGACTACCACATGACAAGAGGGGGTTGGTCAGATGGTCAGCACCCCCCACCTACAACCCCAGAGTCGTGGGTTCGAGTCATCAAACAGCCAACGGAGCAATAGCTCCAAGCCTCCAACAAAGGGGGACCAAAGTGGAATTTAAAAAAAACGACTACCATATAGCAACAATACAAATTACTGTACCTATCAAGGTCCTGTGAGCTCCAACGCAAAAGGGGAAAAATTACTAGACTTGAAAGCTGAACTTTATTAAAGCCCCTATATTAACTTCTAAGTTAGGGGAAACATACTGTCTCCATCTTTTATACCACCATGAACTGATATAAGCTGGAGGAGACAACATTTAGAATATTTTTTAACCTGATCTGACTCTTTCAGAATTTGGTTTATTCCAGTTCTTTTCAAGGCACGCCTATTTATAAGTGTTAGACACAATATACCCCCGTTATCCCATGTGGAACAATCTAAGAATTTAAGATGTGTGAGGCACAATACACCATGATATTTGTCCAATTAGAGAGAAACGATCTAACTTAAGAATTCAATTGTCTAACATTATAACATGCTCCCACAAACTCGAAGTGGAAAAACCAACTAGCACTTGTTTATTTTGAGAAATAAAAAGTAAACATCACCAGAAAATGTTGATGGAAAGACGCCGAAAAATCTCCAGCCACTGGAATCTCTCCGTAAAAATTATTGCCAGAACGATGGATGGAAAGGGTGCACTGCGGAGTGGTCACCAAAAAGAATGGTGCCAATAGAATAATTACATGAAAGAAATACAGTGCCACTGGAGTGTCGCCAGAAAGAGCCGAGGGGCTGCTAGCAAAGAGGCGCCGCACCATTAGATAGGTCATCAGAAAGAACAACACTACTGGAACGATCTCCAAAAAGAATCACCATGACACCAGAGCAATTTCCAGAAAGATGCATGGACCATCAAAGCGGTTGCCTCAGTGCCGCCAAAATGGGTCACTGCAAAGAGGCACAATGCCTTTGTAGCGATTCTCGGAAGAGACATGGTACCACAAGAATGGTTGAAGGAAAGAGATGCTTGCCACCCAAGCGGTCATTGGAAAGAAAGAAAGCAGACGAAACTTTGGTTGCACAAGCAGCATAAGGCCGTACGCCGGAAGGTGAAGGTTGCATAAGCCTACCAAAATGGTAGAAAGTTCTGATAACATGTACGAAAAATAAGAGAAGCAAAGAAGATGCATTGATGAACTTGTGACATGAATAAAAGAACAACTCTTTGTATGTGTTAGATGCAACACACCCGTGATATTTGTCTAAGGTGGGCATTTAATAACTAAACTCATTTAACACTCTGACATCTAAATCTTCAAATAGAACTTTAGCTTTTCGAACAAAAGGAGCCAACGGAAATCTCCTCCGGCATCATGAATTAGTAAGATAAAAGGGACAAAAATCTTAGTGAAAATCCAAATCAATCTAGACGCGTAATGCAATCACCAATTGGAGATCGCAATGTGACTAATAGAGGTTGAAAGAGTTGTTAGATCCATTTTTTTGATGAAGTAATAGTTTTATTACTACTAGTTGACATGGGGAAAGAAATCTCGTGTACAAGTGGCAAAAAAAAATGGACAATCTAGACACAAATATGAGTCCCTGCAAATCACACCCAATCATCTATGCTAACCAGAACCTCATGGGTGCTCAACAATTAACCCAAAAAAAGGTTCCATTAATTTATATAGAAGATTTCTTCACCCCCTTCAAAAGCCCTCATTTCTTTCCCTCCATATTGTCAAAGCGGGAGTTAGTGGTACTATGTTAGATCATTTGGAAGTAGCTAGCATCTTTCACAAGCACATAATAAAATACGATCACGCAACCAGTGAACTATGCTACAAGCTTAACAAGATTAGCATCGACTCTATGAATCCTGAATGACATTCCGTTCTATACACTTTTTTTATGAAAGAGATTTTTGTCTGGACCAA